TAAAAACGTTATCAAACAACGCATTAAAAGAGAATTTAAGAAGAATTTGTTGGAATCCAATATATATATATATATATATATATATATATATATATATATATATATAATATATATATATATATATATATATATATTATCGAATTTCTTATTTATTATTTTCACCTGTCACTCACCATAGTTATTATCATCGGCATCATCATCATCATCGTCGTCTTCATCATCGTCTTCATCATCGTCGTCATCATCGTCGTCGTCCTCACCATCATCGCCAGTATGGAACATCACAGAACTCTCTTAATTACCTCCAACGATGATATATTTTTGGCTTCCACGATATTTTTTGGCGGTTTAATTTTTTCTACGAAATATTCTTTGTCAGCAGGTTTTTTTGTTAATTTTCAAATTTGATTTGAGTGACACACACACACTCACACACACACACACACACACGCATATATCACTTACATCAACTTGCAAACAATCTTGGCTGCGTCAATTGTAGGCTGATATAGTTCAAGTTTTGTAGTGAATTTTGGTCTTGAATAGCTCACATACAAATGTTATAAGATGATGATTGTAAATGTATGTGTATGTATGCGTGTGTGCGTGTGTGTGTGTATGCGTGTGGTGTTGTACTTTTGGTTGAGTGTTAATTTTTTTCTGCTGCATGTAATGTTGAATATGACGGGAGTGTGTTTTTTGTGCTCTTTTACATTTGTATGTTGAGTGTTTTTGGTGTGTTTTTTGAAGTTATTAATTTTGCGTGTTGCTGGGACATCCATTCGAAAGTTGTATTATATTATCAAATTTGAAATAGTTTTGTATTCTTGTATACATTGTATTCATCATTGATTTTGTGTTGCATTCTTTGTTTTTTGTTTCACTTCTCTTATGATGTGCTAACGAGAGATCGGTCTATTAAATGTTTATCTGAAATTAACTGTCACGATGATCTGCTTATCTGCTAGGGGACCCATCTACATCAGTCTTTCATCCATTCATTCTTTCATTCATTTGTTGATCCATTTATTCATTCATCCATTTGTTAATCATTATATATTCAGTCATCATTTATCTATCCATCTATCATTTTTCCACTTACCTATCTATTATTTTAACTTTAATCATCTCTGATTGAACAGGCATTTTGTTCATTTCTTCTCTAGTAATCTGATGTACCTCGTTCACGAAGCAAACGTGCGTGTTTACATGAACAACGTCTCAATGAATAATCTACACGTAGAAAACTTTGTTAAATCAGTTCGTATACAAATATATTACATGAACGCAGTTTAAGTTTGCAATTTTCTAGTTTTTTTTTGTTTGCTGTGTTATTATGTCTGCAAATAGTGCGTTTAGAAATATTAATTAACAATTTTTTCTGCATTTAAATGAAATGATTTGTCATGTTGTTTTTGTTTTGTGCACGCTAGAGCTCTCATTGTTTGTTAGTTGGAAGATAATCAAAATTGTTGTCGTCGTAGTTGTTATGGAGTTTTGTACTGAAGTGCTTGAGTTCAAGTTTCAGTTTATTTCTTGTTCTGTTATATTTTTTCTTGTATTCTGTACCTACATGTGCTTGGGTTTGATGAAGCAATGCGTGCTTACATGTCATTTCATATCTCAACAACCAGTTCTAAAATTTCTTCTGCACCATTTATATAACGCGTTCAACTGAAATTTTTAAAAATTTTAAAAAAATAAAATCACACCATCTTCATTCACTTCACTGTAATTTAAGGGAACTTTTTTAATCGATAGCAGCTAGGCATAGGAATTGAATATTATTTTTCTTAGTAACTCTTCCATTTTTTACATTTGCTACACTTTCTCTTCAATATTTCTACAACCAGCATACACACAAACAATATACAAAAATGCCCACACATACAAACAAACAAACAAACTGACAAAGAGCGTATAAGGCTCAATGCATGCAAATGAAACATATATGTCTTGATTTTGAAGCGATGCAAATTCAAGCAAGCTCTCTCTCACTCACATTTACACATTTCACTCACACCCACACACACACACACACACACACACACACACACATATATACATATACACACACACACATTTACACCGATACAAAAATTTTTTAAACATTCATTCCTATTCACGTACTTGTGTCTCTATATATGTGTGTATGTGTGCGATGGTATGTGCAGGTTTGCATAGATGTCTCTATGTAAGTGTGTGTGCGTGTGTGTGTGTGCGTGCATGTGCAGGGGTGTTTATGATGATGGCGTGTTGTGTGTAGAGTTTTTGAAAATAAAAACTCTAGATACAAAAAAATACAATGCAAATCGATATTTATTAATATGCGATATTATGCTTAATATCAGTGTGTACTTGAAACAGCTGGGGTTTATTTTCTTTTTTCTACTGTTTTTTTTTAAATCACATTTTGTTTGTTTCACCGTGCCTGTTGTGTTTAAGTATTTGTTCATTCATTTATTTGTTTATACTTTCATTCCTTATTTGTTCATTAATTCATTAATTACAATTATTAATTCCTCGATTTATAGGTCAATTATTCATTCATTTGTTGCTTCGCTTAACCTATCCCAAAACTGCACCACACACACCGACAACATTACGTGGCACATTATTTATGGCTGGGATCAAAGAGAATAAACTTTGTATCTACACCACTTTTTCCTCAATGTTTTTTTTTTTGGCGTTCCTAATATTTTTTTTGTTTATATTCTCAAATAAATTATGTTTGGTTGATGTGTCATTTTTAGTATGTCCAGTTTGTTCGGGTGGCCCTTTCTATGAAATATACACATCTAACATGTTTTGTGACGATAAAATGTTTTATTGGGAAAAAACTGCAAAAATGATTTTGTTATTTAAGGAAAAAAAATTTATTAGTAGAACAAAATTGGAGTTTGTCATTATATAACGACATTTTAACTGTTGTTGTGGCTGTTTGTGTTGTTGTATTTGTTGTTGTCTGTAGTTTATTTTTAAGTTGTTGTTGTTAATCGTTTATGTTGTTATCGTTCATTGTTTACGTTGTTGTTGTTGTTGCGACGAAATCATCGTCGTTCTTGTAGTTAGAGTTGTGTTAATTTCATTATCTGCAATCAATTTAGTTTCTTCTTTTTTCATTATCTGCTAAGATTAACGACAATCCACTCGATACTGGTGCAGACGTACAGGCTGTAAACTCGATCGAGTGGGTGCATGGATGGATGGACGCTCCGCAATTACTACCACCATATAAAATCCTGATTCATTTCACAAAATGGTCTTGTTTTTGCCGATATTGGCAATCAATGAAGTGGCATTTGTTGCTAAGAGTCCTCTAATTTATCTTCGCGCTAATTTTGTTGTTGTTATCGACGACCCAAAAAAGTTTCATTGAAATTTTTTGAAAAGAGTCATTGCCTGGAGTCATCTTTTTGTCGTTTTGACATCATCATTCTCGTTTTCATTATCATCAACTTCTTTCATCATCATGGTCATCGTCAAAACGGATCATTGAACGTCAGACAGCAGTCCCATCATCGTGGCCATCTCTCACATTGCATGACCACCACCATCATCGTTATGAAAATTAGTTTCATTTGGACAATCAAAGCGGAGCTTAATCTGGATGTTAGACCGCAAATATGAACATCAGTAGAGCAGAATGCATGCAATGCGACACACACAAGCACACACACACATACAAACACACAAACATAAAAACACACACGCACACACATACAGATATCACAGAGACACATACACACGGTACCGAAACAGTGTTAGAAACACCCTCCAATATTTTAACATCAAAATTTAATAATAAATTTTAAATTAAAATAAAAACTAAAAATAAAAAAACTGCAAAAATTTGCAATAACAAAACTTTATCCTGAGGAAAAAACTACAGTGATTATAAAAACACATCAATAATGACAACACAGTAAAACATAAAAACACCAAAACGGCAAAGCTTACAATCACACTGTTAACGTTCTTGAAAACAACAACAACGCAACCACCACCAACAACAAGGCAATTACATCAACAACCACATAAGCACCACCAACCACGTAATTACAACACCAACAACAACAACCACACTATATTGTCTCACTATCTGAATCGGAACGAGGAGAACACTGAACCACGAAATGAAAACAAATGATCTGGCACCAGGAACCAATGAACACATCTTGATTTTAATTTATATTCACAACACCAGCAAACAATCTCCATTTCTTCATCAATTTATCTGGTTTCTCTATCTAGAGTTTTTCCACTGAAGATACGTTAAGTAACATTGTTTGACGTCTTGGTTGATACCAGTCATCTTTCGTTGTTTCATTCTTGCTAAAATTAAATCTAGAGTGATATCTCTGAAGATTTTTCTGTTTGAGATAGTTTATCTTGTGCGGTCTCACTTTATGAAGTAATCAAACTAGAAACAACAATTACCAGTTTACATTTCCATGCGTTCTCTACGGTCTGAACTGTCAACCACTCCGCAATAATTTTTAATTAAATATTTTCATTATCATAATTATATTCATGCATTATCATAATTATATTCATGAAAGCGATTTTCTTCATTTTCTCGTCATCATTGCCGTAAACATTTTTTCCAAATTGTGAATTTGAATGACGGTTATGTAGTTGAATGCCATTCACACACCTATGCTATCCATTAAGATGACTAATAATTTTGTGCTATTCTTACACGAAGGATTGAACAGACGGTATGAAATAGACGAAGTGTATACGTATGTTCATTCATGTGTGGTTAGGGTTATGAAAAGTTAGTGCAAATGCAATTAAAAACACAAATATAGGCTTAATGTACACACGAAC